GGGAGGGAGGGCTGAGGCTGAGTGCGCTCGCCTGGACCATGTGCTCGGGTCCGAGCGGAGAGATGGCCACGCCGGGGTCAGCGCCCAGGTCCTGCGGGCGGAGGTGCGCGGCGGCGCCACGGAGTTGGGAGTGGGCGGGCGGGCTGGCCAACGCTGGGAAGCCTGTCATATTCTGAAGCTGCTGGGCTTTAGCTGTTGCCAAATCCGCTAATCTCAGCTCTGGCGGGCTCCTCTTGCTCAAAGGGGGCTCCATCACAACTACATAATCAGGCCCGTAGACCCTCACTGGGGGGACTTTTTTCCCTCGGTCCGCCTTCAAAAACATGTATATATTAGGCGCTCTTTAACTTCTTTTGTCCTGGCCTCCTAACTCTGCTTATTCCCGTTCCCACTCTGTCCTCCAGCGATTGGCAGAGCGAGCACCACATTTGAGCTGCACAGTGGGACCGAGATTTTTGGAAATGGCACGGGTGGGATTGGAGGGAACCAAGTGATTGGCAGCAGTCGCGGCTGCCCGATTGGCTCCTTTTCAGGCCCTCGGCCCAGCGGGAAACCACCCGCGTGCTCTGTGCCGCCTTCACATTCGCTTCACACTCTCTCCTCCCCCCTGGAGCCCCACGTTCCCGCCTCCCCGGGGATGCCCAAGTTGCACTTGCAGAAAGTTTGAGCAGGGCCTGCGCGCGCAGCTCTTGTGACGTGCTTCCTAGAGAAAGTGCACAGGCACGCGGGTGGAAGGACGGAGGAGCTCTTGGGGTAGGAAGAAGCTGGTGACCCCAAGGGGCAAAGGTCAGGGAAGGGGGCCCTCAAATGCAAACCCCAGCACCTCACTGCAGACTGCATCTTTTCAAGCACCCAAATACTTTGGATGCCCTTTCTTCGCTGAGTTGTTTTCATTGGGAAGATGGTGAACAGATGTACGCCTTCATCGTACCTTAAGTGTTGATGCTATAAACTATTTGGGACGATCCAATCTGCCGAGAGCACACATAGGGCGTCCAGACAAGATGAGGAAGGGTATTAAAATCCTATTGGTTGTGAAACAACTTAAATGATTTGGTTCCACAAAACACCAGGTGAAGTCAAAATAAATCTTTCCCGATTTACCTCCACTTTTCAGCTGATGGGATCCTTTTCAACAGGGTTCAAAGGAGTTGGCTGGCAGTGTAATCTCACTGCTCATCGGATCCAGATATGCCACTTTCAATTATATCTGTAGAGGTGGCGAGCAGGGGAGTTGACCTAAGCAGAGATTCCAACTTGCCTTTCCAAGATACAGTGGTAGGCCAGGCCAGACAGCAACGCTCCAGAGAATCTGCTAAACAAATAATGTCTTTGAAACAATTTATTTTTCTACTTCTGAACACTTTATATCAATGCCTCATTTTTTGGTGAAAGGACCACACGTTAGAATTGGTCCAATAAAATATCTTTTAAAATTGTAAATTTCTTCCCTATTTATGAATAGAACAATCCTTATCATATAAGTAATAATGCTTATCATATATATATATATACATACACATATAGTGTGTGTGTGTGTGT